ATTGTTTCTCATGGATGACTCAATGGCAGAGCGTTTGGGATTGAGGGATCCTCATGCGAGATAGACTGAGAGGTGGAAAAAAAGTTAACCCTCTATTTCCATAGGGAAACTGATGGGGTCAGAGACTGAGAGATGTCATCAGGATGTATCACTTTTCTTCTCCGCTGAGGGCACGAGATGATGGAGGACACGTAGACCGTATATGAAAGTCAATGCTGAGGGTCCCTTAAACAAGGAATGTGCTTAAGAGCCACCAGGAATATCCAGGAATCGCCAGGAATCACCCACCAAAAAAGCCAGTGTTCCAAGAGCTTGCTCGCTCCGGACCGCCGGACCTCTCAGGAGAAGACCTCGACTTATGCGAAGCTGAAGAAGTTGGTTTTCCATTTTCATCCCGCCTACACCGAGGCGAGCGAAACATGTGAAGCCAATGGCCGGACACCGGTCCGGAACTCGTTCGTGTTGTCCGGATTCGACAAGCTGTATTCAGGCTGGGGTCAAATATCATATTGATTATATATCTATTTTGCTTGCGTTTCTTCCACAATATTATATCACCCTCCCAAGAACTAGCATGAACCCTGGAAATCCTGAAAACTATTCCAATTCCAAGGCGACTCCTGGAATCCTGGTATGTTTTTATTTTGGGGGGACCCGGAGTGCGTGCTCCGTGTAGGTGTTGCCCAACCGCACACCGTGCGTCCTTACGAGGCTCCAATGAAGCTTCTTCAAATGAATCTGGGCGGCATCTTACCAGGGAAGAAGAACCTGCAATGGTTGGAACCACGTGGAAACCATGGATCCAGGCTGGCGAACACAAAGTTTCTTCAGCGCAACAGGCCCCTTTGACTTTCGGAAAACCATGCAGACCTCATGGCGAACCTCGGCAATCCCAGCCATTTGACGTTTGAACTTCGGTGAGACTTAGGCAGGAGAGATCGAGACATATCCCCGTTCCATTCAACCTAGGGCCAGGTGCATCCATGGACCGCATGTCATGCGGAACGTTTTTTGGGTCGGGTGATTGGCGCAAAACCAAGGGTGTGTGTGTGTGTGCGCCATCCTATGCGACTAAGATTGGGGAGGCTGGGCGTGAAAATCCCGGACTGGTGCTATTCCGGCGTAGACAGGAATAGCACCACAGTGCTGGGCGACGATCTTCCTCATGCCTTTCGCTACCACGGGAAGTGCCGCACCACGGTCTTTGAGGCGCGGCCTTTTTGGCGATCCAGTCAGACTTACCGCAATAGAGACATACCAGGATCATCCTGTCTGGGTGTTCTGGCTGGACATGTACACATCTATATAATAATATTACATAATATTATATAATGCACATCACATCGCATGACTCTTGAGATGGGTCAAGCGCTTGCGCTTTGAATGGAGCCTTTGGAGCCAGTCAAACAAACTTGAACATGTGGGACGTGCTTCTTGGTTTTGCTGGAGGGAGGGGCTTCTTGTTTGTCGGAAGGCGGCCCAGGTGTTGGACCGCACATGGACATGCGGACACACTTGCAGTGGATGAAACCCGGTGCTCGGGTTGCCGACATGCTCAGATATGTTTGGAAAGACATGTCAATATCAAGTAAATTGTAATATGTTAGATGTCCCTCCGCTTGTCCAACCTGTCCCCATCGACAGCTCACACCCTTCAGATTGGAACAAACGTCATTGTCCTCTCAATCATGCGCGCACCGCTTCATGTTCAATTTGTAAACTGAAACTAGGAAGGCCCTGGGAGCTTTTGCCAAGCCATCAAAAGTTTGTATGCTCCTCAGTGGGAGTCCCCGAAGGCCTCGCCAAACCCATTGTATCTCAACCATCATTTCACCAGAAAACCGGCTCATGGTTGTGGCTCTCAGGGGGCCAAGTGTTTGTTCGTTTTCTTTTCTAAGGAGCCTACTCGTGGCGCACCCGGCTGCCCCATGTCATAGTCATTCGTTTGGACCTTGTTGAATTCAAAGAACATTAATGGATTATATGTTGAATTCCACGAACTCGATCGAACGATGGATGAGTGGAATGAGGAATTCAGTCTTCAAACTCGGCTGTGCCGTTCGCATGAGAGCGACCCGGTCCCGACGGGGCACCGGAGGCCGAAGAGCGTGTCGTCTTCGCCGGGACCCACGACCACATCCCGACGGGGGAACTGGTGAAGATCGAGCGATTGCCCTCGGGCTCCACCTGGCTGGGCATGAAGAAGAGCCTCGGCCGAAGGACTGGCAGAAGGACGAAGAAGGATGTGTTTCATATTGTTTCATTGTGTTTCTCTTCCTTTTGTTGGGACGTTTGCCTTGAAAAGGCTTGAGGCTTGAGAGCAAGGAGGAAGATCTCCCTGAAGCCGCGCAATTTTCGGTTGAACGCACCAGGGTCACAGGGCACAGCCGGCTAAAAATGGAATCCGCAATCCCCTGGCAAGACCTGAAGGAAACTGATTGTTAAGCTAAGGCAAACTAAAAAAATGCAACATATTCTCGTGTATTTTCTTTCAGTGTTGCAATCCTTCTTGACAGGAAAAAGTCGACATCCTCAGACTGCTGAACCCCAAAAGAAACACCAGGCCACCATGTGCAATAGGGCGGAGCGTTTGTCCTTCTCTCCTTCTGTAGCCTAGGAAGCTGGACAAGGACCAGATCCAAGTGAAGTATTTGGGCAAAGCCTATGTCGTCGCCCAGCGGGATTTGCACCGGGAGCCCTTGGCCAAGATCAAGGTGGAACGGACCGGGGGCTGTTCGTTCCAGGCGGCCAGGCTGTTCTCGTGTTGCGGCGAATTGGCATGGTGCTCAATGGTGCTAAAAAGCCTTGGGATGGAAGCTTCTAGCATGAGAACAGAGCGTTCGAGGATCCAATCCCACTCCAAGCATCTCCGATCAGAACCATGCAAATAAAGGTGGATTTCTTTCATGTACAGTATATGTATTGCGTACACAATGTGACACATATAATATCACACAGTTTCACATGACTCTTTTTCAATGATACTGTAATAGTATCATTACAATATTGCAGTACATTATATAATGTAAACAATGAAATGATAACCGCCCTATACTAAACTGAGGCATTATTATGCCATATGCCCGTATACGCCAGCCTCCATGTTCTGCAGGTGGATGAGGCAGTTCAGCAGTGGATGCGCAGCACTGGAGACACCATTGAGATCTCCTCCGAAACGGCCTTGCATGACCCCAGCCACAAGCAGCACAAGGATACGTTGCTTCGGATGGAAGGTGGAAGGACCGTTTGTGTGATTCGTTTCTGCATCCAAGTTGGCTTTAGGGTGCTCAGGGTCTTAGTTTTTTATTTTCAGGCCGTTGGCTTTTTCAGGCGATCAGGGTCAATCCTGGTGTTGAGTGCTTGGCTTTTGCAAGGGGTACATTGGTTTATTGACACACTGGTAGACCGCGTCAAACTCTGAGACGCGTGTGGCTAATAGCACCCCTTGATGGAGATGTAAACATTTGTCGAAGTTGTAGGATGGGTATCCACCAGTGGAGGTGACATTTCAGGAGGCCCTAGGAGGCCCGTTTTTTGCCCTGCCAGCTGCCAACGCAACAACCTAAGTTAGTGTTGCTCAGTCTTTTGCGGGGTGAGAGCCTTCAGGCCCCGGCCTCTAATTGCCTTCTAAGCGGCTGGCCATTTTGAGGGATTGACTTACTTGCAGGGGGGATCCCGAGCCCGAGAGCTTCACTTGATGGTCCCTGCGAAGCTGAGGCTGTGGTTTCCAGTGTCCTCGGCGGAGAAGGAGAGCCGTAGCTGGGTAGGGCAGAAGAAAAACATGTCAAGGAATATGGATGAACAATGATGAACATGGGGGTTCTGGGAAGTGTGCAACCCATAATATTTCACGTCTCAAATTTTGGACACTTGGATTATTGAACAATTTCGCCGACTCTGGAGCTTCATGACATCGCCTTGGCTGACCGTTTCCAAATCCTAATGTGTTGACCTTCAGACATTTCTCGAATATGCATACAGCTGCCGGTACAAAGTACGTATGTTGACATTTGGGCTCCACTTGGACTACGCGTTGACTCCATGTTTGGGACTGCCTGCTTCAGGAGAAGAACAAGACAGAGTGAAGCTTTGATGTTCTGGAATCATGATGGCAGGAGTTCCCTTCTAGCGATTCTAGCGCCTTCACTTAGCTATCGAGCTTTTTCCCGACGATTCGGGGAGCTGATCGAGGATGGCAGAAAAGGTCAAGGGTGGCGGCTCCGCCGAAGGTCGGCCCTTACTTTAAAGATCTTTAAAGCAAGCCACGGTACCTGGTGGATACGTTCCTGCACATGTTGGCATGGTGTGATATATTATACTTTTCAGATATGAGTACGCCCGCGTGCTTATTCTACAGTCGCTGAACTGTTTGTTGCTGATATCTACTTCGGAAATTGAGTTTTGGAACCAGAGAGAGGCCAGAGATTCAGATATTCTAAGTGTTTGTTCGCATAGTTACGTCAACTCTGACTTGAAATATCCAGAGAAACGGTCCTATTTTGTTTGGCCAGCATCCATCATTGGATTCATTGGATTAGACATGACAAGTGCATGAGTCAGTAGGGCCTGGATTCCGGAGAGTCCCATCTCGGCCGGTCGACGTCCTTCTTCGTCCGGGTCAAACGTGGGGAGAAGACGTTGGAGGTGACTAGCGCGACTTGTAGAGACATGATGAAGAATGGAATGATCCCTCACTATGGATTCATTAGGAGCCGTTCCCCCATTCCCTGATTTTGGCACCCGTCAGAAGAGGTGAAGACAAAGTATTTTGGCAACCTCCTGATTTCGTGGCATTGCCGATCGACTTGCTCGCGCAGCATCCGAATCCCAGAAAAAAGCAGCACCAACAAGTCTCCTGTAGAGGGACCCCACCACGGTCTCAATGGATGACCGAAGTCGGGTGACCTCGTTCAACGCTTCCAATATCTTCCAATGCTTGGCACACCCGGTCGATGCACCTTCGCCGTTCGCGTCGCCGCTCCGGCGGGCCGCGGCCGCAGGGTTCCACCTCCGCGATGCGGCGCTTCGTCCCGGAGGAGCGGGCCGAAGGAACGCCACATGGGGAGAGCAAACACCATGTTCTGTTTGGAGGTGCCATTGTTCAAAGACTTTGGGTTGTCTCGACCTAGTTAACGTAAAGTAATTAAGTATGAAGAAACCGAAAAAAATCAACCTCGAATTGTACTACTCAACTAAGGTGCTGTGAGACCTCATGGTTTGCCTCAAAGTATGCTTGCTCAAACAAGGCCTCGAAAGTCACAAAGTCAAGCGTGGCTTCCTTCGACCGATTTTGTTGCCCTTGTGTGAGTAAATGGATTGAGCATACTGAACCTTGGACTTCAACAACATTCGATCATACAGCAACATCAAGTTCTAAGGATGTTGCTGCAGAGCGATATTAGTGCACCCAAGCCCTTGATCCCCGCTGGGGAACGGTTTGACAAGTGAAGTTTTGGGGTCTACCCCATTTGCTGCGGTTAACAATGTCAGAGCTTCCGGTACTTGGACACTTGTTCCTGGTCAAACGATATTTATATCATGTTGTGGCAACAAACAGGGGCCCTGTATAGAAAGTGACGGTGTTTTTGTACTGAACAGATCCGGCCAGGGAAGATCCCCCCATCCGTGAAGGGAAGGAACATCTAATATACTGTCGTGTGTTTGGATGTTTGCTACCATAATGATGTTTATGTTGATTGGTTCATGGATCATGTTTGCATCGCCTTCCTCCACAAAAAAGAACACCCAAATTTTCTGGTCTCAACACTGACTCCATTGCAGGGGACGTTCGCACCCCGCTCATCTCGCAGGTCATGGACGAGAAACGCCGCCTACGTCAGCTGAGCCGGCGCTTTGGACAGCTGCACCAGGAGGTGGCTGGGGGAGTTGGGACCCAAAATGAAGTTTGTATAATTATAATCATACTTGTTTGAACAAGTAAATGAGACTACCAATTCATATACTTGGTTCAGCCAACAGTGCCACCTACCCAATCCCACTCCGCATCCCTGCCAGGTCCTCCGAGCCTCCGGAAGGCCCTCAAGTGCCGTGCCGTCTTCCTGCGCCGTCGATGTTTCTTCGGATGGCTCAGGGAATACGTCGGTCCGGATGGCTTTTGGGCAAAGTATCCATCTCATGGACTCGGACTTGAGAATATCTTGCTGATATTTGGGGAAGAAATACTTCTTAACCTGGCACAGTGGCTACTCTCTGGCTCTTTTGACACCTGCAAAAGCCGTCAGGCCCGCACCCTTGCTGGCGCAGCTCTACCGAGACGCTGCGCGAGAGAACATGCGGAAGAGGCGCTGCGTGCGGGGTTTGCAAAATCCCCGTAGTATGACAAGAGACCAACAAATACCAGGGCCTTACTAAGGGGTGGTTAATAGACACCCACTATCCTCCAAGGAGCTGCTTACGGGGCCCTGGTAGTGGTTCATTTTGATCCTATTTTGTTGTTCCTGTTGTTCCTAAGTTGGGGAGGTTGGTGTCCGAGACAACGAGGCATCAAAAGCAGACGACCCCTTCCGTTTTTCCGCTGTCCAACAGTTGGATCGCTCACCTTTGCTACAGCGTTGGATGGTCACCTTGCCAAAACCTTTTCTGATTTATGTGAACAGGTTCTCAATCCAAGTGGTTTGAGGGCACTGTTCGAGAAGTAGAACCATCTTAGCATATCTTGGCCGTGGCGGAAGACACCTTATAATAACAAACAGCTAGCACACAATAGCACACATGATGAAAAGCTCAAAAATTAGAATGACCTCTGGGGCCTCTGGGTTTCTGGCCGGATCGAGTTCTCAGGTGGAACGTCGCCTTCCATGAGTGGTGCGTGGAGGCCCCGTGTGTGTGCTTCCGGCCAGACGCTCGAAGGGGACCAAGTCTGCCACTTTTGGGCGATGGCCTCCAACCTAATAGCCTTTTCAGGACTTTTGGTCGGTCTTCCCAAGGAGTGGTTGATGGGATGTGTTGGTCGAACAGATGTGTGGGGAGTTTGAGCCGTTGTTCTGAGTTCTGGTTCTGAAGAGTGGGGAAGGCAGACTACTTCTGCAACTACGTCGCTGGGAACAGTTCAGTTCTAGTTTGTTGTCTCGTGATGCATCGAGGGGTCATTCCATCGCGCATCTGGCGAGAATCAATTGAGTTCACATGGTGCCGGGTACTGGCTTGGCCACGAAACAGGAGCAATTTGCTTGTTTATCTTTGGATGGACTGATTGCTTTGTCATATCGCCAAACTCCAGAAATAGAAACAGCCAACAGCCAAGCCTTTGTTGCAGGCGATTTGCCACTACTACCTGCTGGATCCTGAGGCACGGCGTTAAACCTTTTTTGTTTCAACATGCTTAAGGCCACGACTCGGGCCTGGAGCATCCAACAAACTGAAATTGTCCCGTTCAACTCGAACTTGGAGAGGATCCTGGGGCATAACCCCTCCCGTTCTTCTCAAGCCTTTGCACAGCCCTCGGACGATTCGTATCATTACACTCTGGAAGAGGCCCACATGGAACCTGAAAACCGTTGAAAACCACTGGTTTGTAGAGGAAAGTAGTCTTCCAACGGTCCATGTTCAAGTTCCATTGGTCCAGTCTTCCCGGGTGTATATATATATATATATTCATGTCTGGCCTCAAACAGTACTTTGTCCCCTCCCACTGACCACTGCTTGCGCAGCTTCGCGAGCGGTGGCTTGCTGAGCCGGGCCGTCGCTCCCGTGTCCGGTGGCCTGGTGTTACTGGCGGCAGCATGATTGATCAAAGGCGCTTCAACGTAGCTCTTTGGGAGTTACCAAGCCTTCCTCAGACCTGTCTCATTCTCAGACCATGCAAATGTTCATGAAAACAGCTGCTAGCAGCCTGCTAGCCTGCTATGTAGCTTTATCAACCACCGCTCGTCCGGTCCTCACCGCTGGGCGTCCGACACGGCGGCAGCGGCACGCCCGCTCGAGCGGTGCAAGGTCAGCGTGCTGAGCAGTGACCACCTGGGACCGGAGGTGCGGTGGGTGCACCAGTCAGGTCAAACGAAGCACAGAACGATGTGCAAGTGACGATGATGTATGTATTTCTTATAGTGACTATAAATAGACCAGGATAGAGCAGGTATATATAGGATTTGCAGAATTGTCCAGGTCATTGGCCACATATTCTGCGGGAGATGTGTTTGATGACTGTGACATGTTTCTAGATAAAACATTGATGTGGCTGAACTCTTTGGTCTTCAAAGAAGGACTTGTAGCACCAAGGGAACTGTAGCACTTGATGGATTGGCTGAGAGAGAGTTCTGGCGTCCCAGACTTGATGCAATGGACAGGTGCTCCCCAGTGGACCTCTAAAGCTCTTAGATCTCGGGAGCTGTCCGGGACCGAGCGATGGCGGACGTGGCGGAGTCCGGGACGGGGCGAACTTCCAAAGAACCCACACCCGAGGCGTCAGGAAACTCTGAGCAGTTTGCGCAGGGGGTGCTTCAGTTTTTAGATTTCAGGCTGTGTTTTGTTATGCTTGGTGATGAGACATTGGTGCCGGCGCAAGATGTTTTCCAACTGCCTGATGTATGGCATGTAGGTGTTTGTTGTTTTGGGGGTTTGATGGGAGTGGCGGCATCGCATGTGAGAAAGCGGTGGCACATGAGTCTGTCGCATGTTACTCTGCTCCGGAGGACCATTGGGTGCCCTTAGTACTGCTTAGTACTACCTTGCATTCGCTTGCATGTCAAGGGATGGTGTGCAGGAGCAAGACATTGAGCCCATGGCCAGCTGGTTTGCATGGCTTGTTCGTCCATGGTTTGTAGGCCACTCGCGCCACTGTCGGTGCATGTGGCGTTCGTCAAGTGGTCGGATCCAGTGTTTGGACAGAAAGTACTGTAGTTTCAGAGTAGATGATGCAATTCTCAATGTCGATGTTGCAAGTATGGACCCACATCTAAGAAAACATTCCAGGCTTTGGCCAGCTACTCTGAAACCAATGTAATTGCAATGTGAGTTACAAAGCGAGATCAGCTATGGTCACCTGCGAGATCATCTCACCCTGAGATCAGTTGAGACACCTCCTCGGCATGAGTTCGTGAGTCCGCCGACCTCTTCGGAGAGGTGCCAACTACTTTGCAGGCAGTGGGCAGCGAAGCTGCGCAGATTTTTGTTGTGTGTGCGTGTTTGAGGCCCCGCAGACCCCCCTAGGTGGCGCTCCCCTATCGGGAGAAGCCGGGAAGAGGTCCTTTCAAGAAACGTGGGCGGAACGAGCCGTGTCAGACGGCCCTTCTTCGGGCAGCGAGGGAAGCAGCGAGTTGGGCCGATGTTGGATGATATTCAAAACATGCAGCTCTTCCTATACTTGAAGTAAGAACCCCAATAGCCCAATAAATGGCAGCGAGTTGGGCCGATAAATCTTCCAGTCCCGGTCTTTTGGCCAGAGGTCGGGCCCACTTCGACGTCACAGCTGTGGATTTGGCGAAGGGACCCGGACCGGAACTGCCAGCAGACAAAGTGAAGATGACGTTGCTTTTGTCACTCAAGGGTCAAACCAACCATAACCAACCGCTATTTATGAACTGAACATGGTGGTAAAGGTATGTGGCATATGGAGTAGGTTCCTATCGTCACCCGGTATATAGGACATGGGTGAGTAAGGATTTTGGCAGCCAGGCCCCTATCAAGCATCATTGGTGGAGCTGGGACACGTCCGAAAGATATGAGTCGGGACCTTCATGAGCGCCTGCAGTGATTCCATTTATTCTGAGACACACCCATGTGCTCTCATCAACATTCAATGAAACAAAACATCTCAAGTGTCCTGTCCAGCAAAAGGTCATTCATAGATCATATACTGTAGATCATAGAGATGATCGGAGAACGTGTCCTCCATGCGTGGCAGCAGCCACCGTTCCATGCCTGCGGTGCCATCGCGTCACTGTCTTGCAGAGGCTGGGTGCCTTGAATGGACCGAGCACTAAGACTCCACTTTGAATCGGGGAGCCCTGAACCAATTGGCGGATAGACGGCATCGTCTATTTCTCGAACCAGAACCCAGGCTTGTCACAAGCACAACTTGCGGCATCTTGAAATGTAAAAAACAAACGAACCCAGGGAGCCGTTGCCTGGGAGGTCTCCCTATTCGAAGATTTTTAGGACGGCCACATGGATTTATCCACCGCGGCTCGTCAATGAACCACGTCAACGAACCACGTCAACCACGGCTCGTCAACCTGCCAAGCTGGATATCGAGCTCCAACGGCTCGACCAAAAGAGCTGCAGGAGTAGCTGCAGGATTTGCTTGCATGCCGATGCGTCCCGGTGCATATCTCCCCGTCAATGGCGGAAGTTCTTTGTTTTGGGGAGTCAGAACTGCATGGTACATCTAAGCAGGTGATTCCCCAAACAGTGTGGACACACTAGGGGTTCTTACGGTAGGTGCAAAGAAACGAGGCTTAGATCGCTGAAGCGCGTGGGCGTGTGCGGCTAATTCGCTGCTATTTACAGTACATTCATGCCTCTCGACGCCTCTCGACATCGTCAATGTGCATTTCGACTGCGCAGGCTCGCTGAATCTGGGTGTCCGCGGCGGGTGCTTCTAACGACTGCGCTCTCGTTGTGGTGCCGTGCGCATTTTCACACATGGCGATCACTTTTCGTGACAGGCGCGAGGGATCGGAGGTGTTTTACTTCCAAGTGCAGATTTCGTTGCAGGTGCAGCACTTGGTGAACCTCGACGCGCAGATTTCGTGGCAGGCACAGCGCTTGGTGGCGCAGCACTTTGTGCTCTCAGATGCTCACTCTCTCACTCTCACCCTCACCCTCACTCTCACTCATTCACACACGCTCACACTCACATTCACTCACATTCACGCTCACGCTCACTCTCACTCACGCTCGCACTCACACACTCACTCGCACCACACTCACTCGCACTCACACTCACTCTCATCCACATTCACTCACACTCACTCACACTCACTCACACTCACACACTCACTCACCTCACTCTCACTCTCACTCTCACTCTCACACTCACACTCACTCACTCTCCCACGCTCACTCTCACTCACACGCTCACTCTCACTCTCATGCTCCCTCTCACTCTCACACACACGCACACTCACACTCACACTCCACCACCGCCACTGTCACCACGATCCCCACCTTCATCACCACCATCACCTCTGTGGACCCCAATGCGTCTAGATCTCTAGACTTTCTGCTTGTAGACCTCACACACTGTTTGGGGCCTCTTGCCGGGATAGTTTGTTTCGGATTTTTATATGTTGTTCTATGGGTTTTCTGCCAGGAACAAAGTACCAGGTATTCTGCCAGGAACCTGTTCAGAACACAGAGTTTTGGGTGGTATGATGAACCACTGAGCCATGCCACTCACACGCTGAGGCTCCAGCTGAGGCGGGGAGATGTAGGATGAGGGAGGGGGTGGTCGTGGCACTGGCAACTGTCTCTTGATCAGGAAGACCCTCCGCTACCAACAATCAGAGTCCACTCCTTGGAGAACTGCTTGTTTGTAGAGGAACATGGTCATCCGGCCTACTGAAGGCCATTGGGCCAGTGTATAGGTGTGGAGACCACCTCAACTGGGTGCTGAGAAGAAGACCGAACCGCTGGCGAAGCCCAACCCCGTTCGGGCCATAGACCGGTCTATCCATTATCTTCATGAGCACTTCGTGAAACTGATCGCCATTGGCCTAGTGGGGTCAGGTCTGAAGCTTGTTGTTCTTGTTCTTGCCCAGTGCCTTTTGGGGTTAGAGGGCGTGGTTTCCACTGGTCCGCCGCCAAGAGTTGACAAGTTCGAAGGGATTCCGCCACTCGGACTGCGCATCCAGGATCCAGAGTTACTTGCAGTACCGACCTAGACAGATGTTCTAGACAGATTGGGTTCCTTAGACACCCAACTCGGGGGACTTGTGCTACCTCTCAATCCACACCACATATAGCCCAGCGACCCGTACCTTGCAAGGCTTTGAATGGCACCGACTGCAAAACGCTGTACTTGTCTCACGCAGACACCATCCACACGGGGAGACGTCACCAGGAGACGGTGCTGCGGGGAGACGTCCTTGAGTTGACCGTCGGCCCGGGCACTGGAAGAGTTCAGAATGGTAAGGAATCAAGTGTTTTGTTACAAGAAACCAGTTCCAGTTTCAGTTTTAATGGAAACTAGTTCCATTCTGAATCAGTGCGGTTTTGGAACTAGTTCAGAATGGATTCAATGACTTGACCGTCCCAAACTTGAGGGATCATGTCATGTACTCCAAGAGTAAGTGTTTTAGAATGCCGGAGGTAAAACAACCACTTGGATCCATTTGGTCAGAGGGTGGACCAGGTCAGCAATAGTATAATACATTATATATACAATACTATTTTCCGATGAAGGTGACACAAAGGAGCAATGGATGAAACACACGCGGGGAATGAAGGGGCACGAGGACAAAAAGATGAGACACAAGGGCGGCAATGAAGAGGGAACGAACGGGGGGCAATGGATGAAACGCAGGGGGGGATGAAGGGGGCATGAGGGGCCAATTGATGAAGGGCAAGGGGGAATGAATGAGGTACGAGGATGCAATCGATGAACCGCAAGGGGGGGCTATGAAGGGGAACAAGGGACACGGGGGCAATGGATGAAACGCAAGGGGTGAATGAAGGCGGGCATGAGGGGGCAATAAATGAAGCTCAATTGGAGGAGTCAAAAGGTGAGGGCACAACAAGAGGGCAATCGATGAAATACAAAGGGGCAATGAAGGGGGCACGAGGGGGCAATGGATGAAACACATTAAGGGGGGAATGAACGGGGATGAAGGGCCAATTGATGAAGGGCAAGGGGAGAATGAAGGGGGCACGAGGGGGCAATGGATGAAACAAAAAGGGCAAATGAAACACAAGGGGAATGAAACACAAGGGGGCAATGAAGGGGGCCCAAGGGGCAATGAATAAAACGCAAGGAGGGAATGAATGAAGGGGCAACGGATGAAACACATTAAAGGGGAATGAAGGGGAGATGAGGGGCCAATTGATAGAGGGCAAGGGGAATGAACGAAACACAAGGGGGCAATGGATGAAACACAAGGATGAAACGCAAGGGTTGAATGCATGGGGACACGAGGGGGCAATTGATGGAACGCACAGGGGGAATGAAGGGGTGACGAGGGGGCAATAGATGAAACACAACGGGTGAATCAAAAAAAGGGCACGAAGGGGGAAAGGAATGCGACACAAGCGGGGAATGAAGACGGGCACGAGGGGGCGATTGAGGAAACACAAGGGAGGCATGAAGAGGGGCACCAGGGGGCAATGGATGAAACGTAAAGGGGGTAATGAAGGGGGCACGAGGGTGCTATGGACATGGATGAAACACAAGGGGGAATGAAGGAGGGCAGGAAGGGGCAGTTGATGAAACACAAGGGGAGAATGAAGGGGGCACAAGGGGGCAATGGACAATGGATGAAAGACAAGGGGGAAAATGACGGGAGGGAACAATGGATGAAACACCAGAGGGGAATGAAGGGGGCACCAAGGGGGAATGAACAAAACACCAGGGCGGGAATGAGGGGCGATCGATACAACACAAGGGGTGCATGAGGGGGGGCACGAGGGGGCAACGGATGAAACGCAAGGGGGCAATCGAGAGGGGCAAGAGAGGGGAAGTCTTTGCCTCTCTACTTCACAGACATACGCAATTGTTCATGGAAGTGGATGGCATCACCTCTTCCGAGAAAACATGTCTTCCTCGGAGTTCTTGGCTGGCCAGTCCCGCTCCAAACCCGAGGGCCGGTGGGCAGCGAGCCGGTCTTCAAGGCAACGGAGCGGGCGCGGTGTGAGCGGGCGGCGCGTCCGATGGACGTGGTCGACCAAAGAGGAGAGGACTCCCATGAGCAGCATGCCATGGGGGTTGTGGATGTGACACTGACGTCGTTGGCTTATTGCATATTGGTGATCAATTGGTTTAGTTTTTTTTTCTGATTGATGCTGCCGCCGAAATACATGATTCGGGTGACGGATTCACCTACCTTGGCCAACCAGAGTGTTGTTTGTGGGTAGGCGAGGATCGTGTGCATGTTGCTCTTCAGAAACAAATGTCGGGTGCAGCGTCAGCTCTTTTGGAGAAAATTTGGATCAGGGACGTGATGCTTCTTGCACCATCCTCAAAAACAGGTGGCTCCTCCCTTCCGCACGGTCCACCCTCCGCCAGGACGGGTGCTTGGTGCAACTACCGGCGAAGGCGGTTGGAGCCAGGTGGTTTCTTGATGTTTCGTGTGTGGAGGTTTCTGACAGATGACCAGTATGAGAAACCAATGACCGATTCACAGACAAAGATGACGAAAAACAAACAATTGCAGACTCTAACCAGGCCTTCCACGTGGCTGTGCTCGCACTTCTCCTCTCGTGCGCCTGTCTCGCTGTGCCTTTTAAACTGCGTTGGAGGTTGCTCCTGTTGGGTGACCAGCCTTCGGGCAAGGTGGAAGTGAGTCAGTGAGAAGTCCAAGATGTGTTTAGAGGCATTGTGCGCAAACATTCATAAACCACAATGGTAACCACAACGTACCACAAATTGGTTTATTATTCATAAATATTCCATGGCACCAACTTGCAAGAATGTTCAGAAGGCTATAAGACGCCCTTCTATACTTATATCTTTTTAGAACCAATCCTGTCCCGCAAGCCCACAACGTGTGTCAAGGCGGGACTGGGGACGGTTTGATGCTTTGATCAATGTCTCGGCTAGCCACGGCCATAGGCCGGAGGCCTCATGGCGAGTCAAACACTGCCCAAAGGTGTTCATCCAAATCCGCACCGACTAAGGGTGTTGGTGAACTTTGGCGAGCCTGGTGAACTTTGGTGAGCCTGTCTCTATATAAATAGGCTATTCATTGCATTTGTGCCAGGGAGGGTGCGCACTACTACACATGCCGAATGGCACGTTATAACAATCAACTGATTGGGATGTGCCGTATCAATGCTGTATCGCTTCTTTTTAGATTGACATTCCCACCTGTATGATCCTGTATGCCTGTATGCAGATGTACTTCCCCATGATACAATCGGTTTGGGCGTTCACTTGCTTACTGACTGTCAATGATCCTCGATGGTCAGACTCCGGGCTCAAGAAACCTCGCTTGGCCTGGCTGCGATGTCCATATTCTGGCTGTGCCTACTGCTGAGCGAAGTGCTTCGCCTGGATGCCGCGACGGAGATTGAGGGAACTGCGGACGGAGCGGACGCGGACGGAGAGGCCGCGTCCTGCGTGTCCATGGTGCAGAGACAAGCGCGGCCCGCTGGTCCAGGGCCCGCTGGTCGCGCAGCTTCGCTGGTAGAGAGACAGTCAACGGGTACAGGGCAACAACAATTGGTCCCATGGGAGGTGAACCGATATATCATGGCAAACTATCACAAGGCAGGCGTGCTCCCTGGCATTGCAAGAGTTTTGCAGGGCAGATGTGTTAAAGATGTTGATTATGTTTTTTATTTTTTATCACGTACCATGACGTAAGATGACGTGACCGGCAGGTGTTTCTAAAGGAGTCATATGTTTGTTGCTTGGCCCTTTTGTGCGCACATCTTCAGAACATGCATGACCTCCTGCGGCCCGATCTCCGGTGGCGGTGACGGAACTCCGCTGAGGTTTCTGACGAAACAAATGCTTTTCCTGATCTTCAGCTCTATAGGAGCCAGTGCTTTTTGTTCATGCCAGTGCTCTCAGGTGCCTTTTAGGGAGCGGAATGGAGCCAGGTCAATGGGTGAAAGCTGAAATGGTAAATGACGAAAAGACGTTCCAAGGATGATCCATTTGCTGCAGGCCTGTGCTTCATCTCACCTCCACCTGGACCTGAGATAGGTTTCACGAGTCGGCTGTAGTAGAAGGCGTGTCCTTTTTTCCCCAACAGCACCCGGAGAACTTCGGAATTCCCCCCAACGACCCCCGAAGTGCCGCCCATGGGTTTCATGTTCGTCTCCAGTCTCCTGGCCTCGCAGGGTTTCACCTCACATCCACGACCTGTTTGGGACTGACGGCGTATGCCGCCCCAGAAAGACCCGACCCCCCCCTTTTCCACCGCCCCTGGCCGTATTGAAACGGCCGTCCTATGGCCCCCCGTGCCGTCGCGCGACACTCACAGGAGCCGGATGGGAAGTGCAGGGCTTGGTGGAGTATCCGTGTCTCCTGGCATGGTGGGGCCGTGTGTTGGATGTTCGCAAGGACTGGTTGAAGCCAATTTAATGTCCAGAAAACTTGGGCAGCCTCTTCTCCACGAACGGAACTCCAGGAAGTGAGGATCTACGGTTGACGGGGAGAGCATCATGTTGCAGCTCAGGCTACAATATTTGCAACAAGACCAACGCCCCCATCCGGGAGTTCACCGACAACTTCAACAAATCCTTGGCCGAACTGGAACGGAAGAAGTCCTCCAAGCGCTTGTTGATCGCAGGCGCGTTGACGCGGCGTCATGCGGTGTCGACTGGGCGTGCCCAGTGGGGTTGATGCGACTGCGACTTCTCTTGAGTTGGTTCACTAGTATTTGGGGGTTGTCCGCAATGGTGTGTGTGTGTGTGTGCACCTGATGTCCTGCACTGCCAATAGGAGCGTTTGGTCCGACCATGATATTTTGTGATGTCACCACTGAGCAGTTCGAACCCCGATCACGACACGATGTCTGGAGACGACACGATTTCTGCATACACCACATCCGCTTCACTTCTTCATCACGCCGCATCATCACACATCCAAGTCTTTTCCGCAGGCATGGTGCGAGATCCACTGGAAATGGTGGCTTCTGCTTATTGCTACCACCATTCCGGGCAGGAGACGAGCGGATCGGTCCCCGAAGGCGAAGAAGAGCCCCATGACTTGGCCGATGTTTGTCGAGCACATTCATCTCTACAGACATGTCTAGAGTCTAGACTATTGAATACATTTGTGACAAAAAAAACTAATTTTAGAATGTATATTGTATAGTTATAATATAGCTTATGGTGTATATTACATTTAAACTATTTATGCATAATTTATACTTATGCATCCCACCGATAGCATTGGGAAAGGGTTTGGCTTTGGCATGCTTTTGCCCCTGTAGGCGCTGAGGTTTGTTGGGGAACAGGGATTTGTTGGATTTATGCGCAGCAGGGTTCATGACTTGACCCCCTTCCTGTTCCAAGTCAGTTCCTCAAGAACAACGCGTTTGTGGCGTTACCACCAGCAAACCAAACACAGCATGACAAGACGGTCATGGACCTTCCAGCCTCCATTCCAGAATCTTGCGCACTATCAAGCTGGTTCCACCACCCCACTTTCCTCCTCACCGGGTCGCTCCTGTAGCGGCCGCCACCTCGTTCTGGAACGCGAATTCAGCTCGTTTCGGAACGCGGATTCGGATCGTTTCGGAACGCGGGCCAAATGGTCTCTGGGAAGTGGTTTCTGGGAAGTGGTTTCTGGGACTGGTTTCTGGGGACTGGTTTCTGGGAAGTGGCTTCTGGGGAGTGGTTTCTGGGGACTGGTTTCTGGCAAGTGTTTTTCGGGGGAGTGGTGAAGGCCTAAGCCCAACCCAAAGACATCCTAAAGAAGTGAAGCCATAAGGCAAGCCAAAAGAGATAAAGACGCAAAACCCTAAGCCCAAGCACAAGAAACCCTAAAGGAGTGAAGCCCTAAGCAAAACCAAAAAAGACCCTAAAGAAGTGAAGCCCTGAGTCAAACCCAAAGACATCCTAAAGCAGCAAAGCCCTAAGCCAAACCAACCAGAGACCCTAAAGAAGTGAAGCCCTAAGTCCCTCACAAGTGAAGGCCTAGGTCCAACCCAAAGACATCCTAAAGAAGCAAGGCCCTAAGGCAAACCAAAAGAAACCCAACGGCTCACTTTTGGAGGAAGTCTGGTATGAAACGCTCGTTCCGGAGACTTGCGCGGCTCACTTTTGGAGGAAGTCTCATACGAAACGCTCATTCTGGAGACAAGCGCAGCTCACTTTTGGAGGAAGTCTCGTACGAAACGCTCATTTTCACTAGCAAATGATGCCTTCGAAGCACTACCGAAGGATGCGTGTTCCAAAATGATCCGCGAAACTGGTGTCAGACTGCAGTCCCGGAGAGTTTTCTTGTCCTCGTGTTCCAAAATGATCCGTTTCTGGGTTCCAAAATGATCCGGGTGCCCCTGTAGCCCCACGTCTTGGTTCTTCCAGGAGAGGGGCAACCAGTTGTTTCCCGTTTGGGACCTCATGAAGATGGGCCATCGAGAGGGCACCGACCTCAGTCGACCCAAACACCCGGCGCCGCCTGGCGCTCGACGCAAACGGATCCCGTCGCCCTTTGGAGATCCAACGGGATCCGCATGGAGCAGGGAGAGGTGCGGAACGTGGTAGAGCCGTTGGGTCGGACAGGGCGGGCCTCAAGTCACAAAGGGCCGGGTGAACATGGGTGAACAGTTGGGGGAGTTGCAGATTCGAGAGATTGGAGGAATGGAGTCGCATCTGAGTTTGAGTACTGACGGAGGTCGCGGATCGATGTGTTGAAGGGGCGCCCATGCGACGTGAGGCACCCAGCTTTGTGCAGAAAGGCTGCTCCCACTGGTCGTGCCTGGGCAGGGACCTGGCGGCCGGTTCATGGTACGACGATTGGACCTCTCTTCCCATGTTGCTGACACTTTCAGTGAAAGTCCCAGGTGTCAGCCATATATCAGGGGAGATTTGTGCAAAAGATTCCTGGAAAAAAGAACTGCCGTGATTCTAGTCTGGGGAGTTGCCCTTTGCATTTGGCGTGTGCTCTGACCTGGGAGATTTCTTTGAGGCTAAAGAACCATGAGGGCATTCATGTGTGTCGTGTGTATAGTATACGAAGAGTGTTGCTGCACGTCCTGTTCTGCCGCATGATTGATCCAATGAGCTATGATATATGTGCCGTATCTATTTGCTGTAGAGGATTGTAGAGGTATATATATATACTGTATATATATATAGTTGCATTATATACACACACCACACTTGTTGATTTGCGGCGCTGTTTGAAGTTCGATTTGCTACGTTGCTGTTGTATAACTGCATTCCAAATTCCGAATTCCCTTCCTTTTCTTGTTTCCGTTTGATTCCTGTGATGTGTTGATGTTCGCTACCAAGACTCACTCCACGGGTGCCTGCACCGTTTGGCTCGCTCGGTGCCCGAGGAATGGATGGCGGACACCTTCGCCCAGCCAGACCCGGAGACCCTGCGCGCCTGGGCGACGCCGGCGGTTGGTTTCTGATTTGGAGACTGGTCACCGGCGTGGTCCCAATCAGGTCTATCAAGCAACAGTTATATAGATTTTTTCATGATCTCTCTATATCACTCTTATCCAGGAAACGTGGATACATGTTTAAAACCTTTTTGGGGGGATTGGTTTCCCAACCACGGAAAGAGGCTGAACCTGCGAAGCACCAAAAGTTCCAGGGATCTGCGCTCGGGGAGTGTGCCTGACACGGTCACAGCTCGGCTCGGCTCGCTGCCTTCAGACACAACCAACCAACCTTGTTTCCTCTTTTTGGAGTCATGGGTGAATGGTCTGGGATGGTATGGACCCTGGCCCCGTTGTTACACTCACTTGTTTTATAGTTAACGTGATTTCATGTGTTGGCACCATGTCCTCTCCAAAATGACATACAATAAAAGAAACAAGCTGTTTCTTCTTGGGTCATGTGGCACTATGTATCAATGGACATGCCATGTGTTTTTTTCCATGCCATCTCATTCTGCGCCCAGGCATCGACTACGAGACCATCACCAGCTCGTCCGGTGCCTTCGATGCCGAGGTCCTCAAGCTGCCACTGGGCACCGAGCGTCAGCCGAGGGCGGGAGAAAGGTCCTCAACGGGTTGATCAGTCAGTTGGAGGATCAGCGGAGATCTCAAAGGTTTGTTTGGTCAAAAGCAACAGGTTGGACCTAGCGTGGATCAATTTTTGCATAGTTTTCGCAATGTTTTGCAAATCTCTTTGTTGAAGGGCTGGGAGTGCCTGATCCATGGAATTCCATGGACTGATGTTGGAGAGCTGCACGTCGCTCGCGCAGCTGTACGAAGCAGGATTGTCCTGGATGTTGACACCAACTCTCAGTCATTCGCAGTGACCAACCCCAGTCATCCTTACGGACGTGTGAGGGCTCCTTCCACTCCTCAGGTTCGGTCTGGACTCGACTGGCTGGCACCCGGGACTTGGGTCGTCCCACCGAACCTGAGAAGGTATGACTGGAGCCCTACAAATTGCAAAGGCTGCAGTCCATGGCTTGGATTTGGATGATTATGATTGATTGTGTGTCCGTGAGTCCCTTGTATTTGTATGCACTTCCTGGACCCTGGACAGAACCCGGTGAAATGGGACACAGCAACATCGATTATAAGGGAGATAGGGTGTCCAAGAAATGCATTCAGACGAAACCCCAGATTTGTCATGACAGAGTAGATCACCCAAATTTGCTACCCAAATCCTTCTGCTGGGAGTGGATGGCAGAATCCTTCACCCCCTCAAAAGTCGCCTTCGGGGAGAGTGGATGGCAGAAGGCTGGAACACTACTTTGGTGCTGGCGAAGAGTTCATCACTGCAGAGCAGCGGCAGAGGATCCTTTGGAATACACAGGTGCCGTTCAACCGGCTCGCGCAGCGATCTGCATCGCACACCCTGTGGACACGCCAAAAGCGCAAGAGGAGGAACATGCGCAAACCATCCTATTACATCAGGTATTTGTTCGAAGATGGGCCTCGGACCAATCTATCACTGAATGGAGTTGAACGTCAAATGCAATGAATGGAAGCTATATATATATATATAGAGAAAGTTGCAGGTACCATAGGGAACCCGTTCACAACCTGGTGGTGGTCGGACTCGGACCTCTGCTGAACCCGTCCTCGCGAAGCGACCGCGCGAGTGGCGGGTCCTCATGACCGGGACGACCCCGTCGGTGAGGGGTTCTCGTCTTTGTGTGTCTTGGTCCCTTAGACAATATCGTCGACTGCTTTAACCTGGATCACGTGGAAAAATGGTGGCTAGAGCGATGCAAGCCTTGCCGTTTGTACATGAAACATGTGAATATATATATATATGAATACTGTATATTAGTGCCAACGAACTAACCTGAAAGCCCTTGTCGGATGCCTGTCCCATGTAAACATTTCTTGTAAACAAACGAGTAGATTTGGATAGATTTGGGATTTGTTGCATTTGCTGTTGGCCATGTAAGGACTCCGAAACTCATCCAGGCTTCAAAGAGCCAGCTCACTCGGTTCCCCCACTACGGTGTCACGATGGGCCTTTCAGGAACAATGGTCTGTTCTAGGCATCACTAATCTTGGAAAGGCCCTACTACATGTAACATGTTTGTCTTTGCGTTCGGCGTGAACGGCGTAACCCGCGAAGAATGCGCCAAAGACCCGCGACCGGTTGAGGTCTTGGACCTGAATCGCTATCCCAACAACAGCAACACCATGGTCGAACGAGGCGCGGAGGGTCCAAGGTATGCCAAGGTCCGGTCCGATGATGGAACACACAGATATCCCTTCGCGGAAGACAGGGAAAAGTCTTTATATAAAGCCTTAGGATGGTCGATTTGGCCTGCTTGGGCAGTTGCTAGCTGCTAGTTGCTATGCAAAGATAATTAATGTCCATTTTGCAGCCCAAACCCTGCATGCTTGCGAGGAGGGAAGGAGCACAAGAGTAATGAAGAGTGTGTGGCGACGGCGCGCTCTGCGGTCATGCTCTTGGACGGCGGGCTTCTGAGGAAATTCCAAGCGCTCCAGCAGAAGTTGGGCTATAGAGTATGGACCTGAGATGAGGAGATGAGTCCTTTAGCGAACCATGCGAAGCCATCCGCTGTCGACTGACATGGTCATCCGCTGTCGATCTTGGGCCCCGGGTTGTGACCCCGCGCCGCTGTGCCGAAGAAAAGGGGGGAGACGAGTGAGTTGCGCCGACCTTGTTCGTGAGTTGAGAGTCCCACTGCGGCCAAGGTGTTGTCAGGATTCTCACGTAAATAAGCGTTGCATGAAATCGCGCACCACCGTCCAAATCAAGTGGCGGATGAACAAGGAATAACAAGGACAACCATGGCTGCATAGTGTGCGATCCAATTATGCATCACCAAGTCTTGTGGATGACCTATAGATCTTTAATTAACAAAACAAGGGTCATGAAGGATCAACCGGAAAAACAAGGATAGACATAAAGGAGAGACACCTGTAGAATCCTCAAGGTGAAACACGCCCGCACCACACACATAAAACTGTTCATCACTCTTTTATAGGTCCCGTGAACCGTGTAACAGTGTATGACCCCCCAAACTGAAGTGTTCACCAAACTTGAAACTAATCATATCCCATTCCGTTCTTTCTTCCACATTTTCAGTAGGGTCACCCATCCAGAAAAGACGCAACGACGTCGCCTCCACGTCCGTTGTTCCGCGTCCGTCCCCTTGCCGCTCGTCGAGGTACATGCCCGAGCCACTGGACCGTGCACGGGTCCTGGCCAAGGCGGACGAGGGACACACGTCGCGTGAACGTGAGCGCGGTCTGGGTGGACAACCACTCGATCTCTCTCTCTATCTCTCTCATTGGGGTGTGGCATAGAAGACACATGTTTAACATGCGTAACATGACCACCCAAAAAGTGATTGTTTCATAAAACTACAGTAATGCTTAAGTGATTGGTTTTGTTGTGCCTGTATAGGTCGAGCCTTCGACTGGTGCGTTGAGCCCCCCGCACCATCTCCACAGGTTCGCCAACTCTTGCAAGAGCCGACCGGGCTGCTGATCATCGCCGACACGGCGCGGTGGAGACGTGGTGGAGACGCGCCCAGTGGAAGCGGTGGACGAAAAGGTTCGTGCACCATACTCATATATATATATATAATGTATATATAATATACATATATATATATATCAACATTATATAAGTATATACATATATTTTGTACATAATTTATATTATATAACTTGTGTATCTATTACTGTTGCATCATTATTATAGACTCGAGGCTCCAGAGGCGCAGGCACCTCTCCCCAGCTGGGTGAGATTCGGGACGTGTTCGGTTCCAGTTGTGTCTTCCACGTGGCTGCCAGGTGCCCACGCTTGGGAGGCGGCTGGGTTGATGGACTCGTTGGCTGACGGATCTGGATTCGAAGTGAAGGAAACCTCGGGCCAATCCGATCATTATCCAACCTCAGGCCAAAAGAAGCAGAATGGCAAAATCCTTCACATTTATGACAATAAGATGATTTCTGCATGAAAGAAACCGACGTCTTCGTGACACTTGGTTTCTGATTCCCAGCACGTCCCGTCCTGGTCACGTTTCTTCGGGCTTAGCGGACGCGCCAGGTATTCCGAGGGGTTGCCTCCATGGACTTCGACGGTGGAGGTGCGCCCGGACGTGGACCGTCGGTGGAAGGCTGTGCCGAAAAGCAGGATCCGGCTCACCCCATTTGGCTGAAGACATGTATGTCATGGAACCATGTACCTAACTTGGTATAAGAAGACACAAAAAACCTTGGATTCCAAGGTATATATGCCGAATCTTACAGTAAGTAGACATGATCATCATGTGCTTGATGTATTGAACTAATACGAATACGTGGTACCACGTATAATATATACTTATACCATGTACTTTATACGTGGCTGATGTCATCACGTACTTAAAGTATTCGACACCATACCTTGGAATTCTTGGGTGCCGCCGTCGGGCCGGGCCGTCGTCCGACGCACTGATTACCTTTGATTTTCTTGACAAAAAATACTTCCTGCAGTGTGGCGGGGTGAATGTTTGGTCCGTGAGCTGGTCGACATATCCAAAACCAAACAAGATTTGGATGATGTTGGATGTATGATGATGTAGGATATGTATGCATCCTGAGGATTCATGAGGTGTCGGCTCTTCTGCTTTGTTTTGACTGGTCCAGGCTGCAGGCTACCGACTGCTCCATGACCCTCAGATGCACTTCTCCTCGAAGAGAGATCGGAGGCCGGCGGCTGAACCAACCAGGTACAAAGTGTGAAATAGTGCGAAGATCAAGCTTTGCCTGAGAGACTCTTGAAAAAGCTTCAGTCGACAGCCTATATACATATATAATATACTTCAAAAGTTGAAAAAAAATCGATAGACTCTGAGTCTGGGCCGTTTGGGTCCCGGGTGACCCGATGGTGTGCTTTTTTGCTCTTTTGCTCTCAGCGATGTTTGCTCTCCGCGTCCACGAACGAGTTCCCCAGCCCGACCGTTCGAAGCGAAGGAGTCCCCTGCATGGTACTCCTACAGCCCAGCACGTGCTTTTGTTTTTGTGGTTTTTAGAGACCAAAAGAAACCAGGAAAGATCTCAGCACCACTGAGTTAAGGGTATTTCATTTAGACATTCCCCCCGTCCCCCAGAGCCACCGGAAATCCGTGGTGGGTTGCGAAACAGCCAGCTGCTAACTAGCAGCACGACCGGAGCGAGGACCGGTGTGGTGAACCGCGCCAGCTGCTTCTCTTTCGCAGTCTCTGGAGGTGCGGCACAGGCTTTGCTCAGCTGCTAGGTTTGGGATGTGAATGTGGAGAGACATGATTTGGATCAGTTTTGCCCCACCTGTCAGGTGAGGATGGGGATCTCTCGAAGTGGAGCAAGTTATTTACAGCAAGCCTTATCATTAACCTTCCAAGATGAGTTAAAGCTTGGCATGTTGACAAAAAGATGCTAAAACATGCTAAAACCATCTCATGCTAGAATTATGAAGGGCGGTTGGAATTACCACATGGGTTTTGTAGCATCCCCTCTTCTCTTCTCAAGCTCCAACTCCAGACCTGGCCACTGTCCAGCTACGACCAGGAGGTGGCGGTCCGCTCCTGGGTGTGCACCTTTTGGATGCGAACACTCAGGCGGAGGCAGGCGCGGTGAAACGAGGTGGACAGTTTTCCTTCCACGGCCGGGTCGATGGTTGTGAGATCCACGGCATGCTTTGGAAACCAGGTTAACTCTGAAACTCTTGTTGACTTATGTTCACTTGCTAGTTGATACATGTGGATTCTGGGATTTGTTGAAAACACGGGTCTTCCGGACTGGGAGCGGCGCCGAAGACACGGAGGGCGAATTGGTTGTGGTACTCACACGTTGACTTTGTTTGTTGTGCCTTCCGTGTCTTCCGACTGGGTGTGTGCTCTGCCCTGGCGCCGCCTGCTCATCTCGGCGACGCCTCGTCGGACAAACTGCATATAGATCTCCAGACAGGACATGCATTGGATTGTCGAGCTATGCACGGTTGTTGCCTTTGTTTGCGATGCTAGCAGAGGACGAGGGTCCAAGTTACGGCTTTTGAGCAAAAGCAAGGCCCCCAGAGGCCCCCAGAGTAGATAGGATTTGGCCTTCGCACGCTTCAGCTTTGCTGCTGGGGAACTATAGGGCTTGTGGGACTTGCAAAGGGCTCACAGGCCTTGTCGAACCTCAAGATGCCTTAAGTTTTTGTCCGCCACCAACTCAGCAAGACGTGCAGGCGCTTCGAAGGCCTTCAAGGCCGCCTCCGGCCTTCCAAAAAGAAGCAGCGGTGCCCGTGGGGACAAATGATGCGGGAATCAATGTGAACATGGATTTCTTTGGAATTCTGCATTGATGGCATGTGATGGCAGCTTTGGATTGGGTTAACACGTCACCCCATCATTCCGTTTGCACCACATCAATCTCCCAAAAAGGAATGAATTTAGTTTGATGCTTTTAATATTCAATACACCAGCAGTTCCAAAGGGGATGGAGGATAGGGGTGCCCCTGTCACATTCACCTACTGGATGGGACGAAACACCACCCAAGCTTTGTGACTCCTGGTGTAAACAATCATAGAATATCATAGAGCAACATGTTTGTTTTGCATGTTGCTCTCTTTTTGGCATGTTGCGCTCCTTTATAAGTGCTCGTTGGCTGTTCCAGGAAGAATCACATCGTTTTTGGTATTTCCTCCAGATGAACCCGTCGTTTCGCACCGGCTCCAAACCGGCGCAAACTGCCTCTTGCGCCGCTTTTTCGGCTGGTTTGGTTTGAAGGATCGAGCCGTGGTTGCTTATCGCTGGGGACATGAAATGTGAAGAATCCAAAGTCCTTGACCACGGTCGTGGCAAAATGACAAGCACTTTGTACTAGTATGTTGGTTCTTGCCAGTTGGGGTTCCAAGAACTGTTCACTTCTTGGTATACACTGTAACAGGTTGTCCGACCGGGCGCCCACCAGTTAATTCTTGCGTCCTTGTGTTGCCTCCCAGTCATGAACCAGCCGGCTTGCAGGTTGACAATGGAAGGAGGCTCAGAAACATGTAGCTCGGGCTCAAGGAACCTCACTTGGCCCGGAGTGTCGATGTTCATATTCTGGCTATGCCTACTGCTGAGCCATGTGTGGCATGCCGTGAATGCTGGAACTGTCGGACCGTTGGGTGACGAGCATGACCGCTGCGTCTCCATGGTCCAGAGGCAAAGCTCAGCGCGTTTCGCGCATGGACGGGTGACGGCCAGACCATGGGAGGCCAGACCAGCTTCGTGTCGGCCTTTTCGTGTCAAGCGAACCCCACCGGAGAAGTTGTCCCGTAAGAATGTGCTTGTTTTGCTGCTGGCAAGTCATGTTTTGGCATTTTACAACCACTTGGCGAAGGTGAACAACTATATTATGGCCTCATATCACAAGGCTGGCGTGTTCTTGTCTCAGGCTTTGTCGAACCTCAGCTGCATACTCGTATTGTCGGGCGGGGTGGGGCTGGTACTCAGCACTCACATAGGAGTTGTGCTGATGTTCAGACTAGTGCTTAGCGTGAAGAATGAGGGAATGAGCCGCCGATGTTCCTTATTCCGATTCCCTACCAAGCACAAGTCACGAGTCAGAGTTTGGTGTGCAAGATTTACAGTAAAGGTAGTAAAGGTGCTTTTTTTTCTGTGATGTCAATTTGCCAGGCCAAGCCCGCTGTAGAGTGTCAGTAAGTCGTTAAACTCAGGAAGAGTTGTGGGTTGCTTCATGTTGCTTCTTTCGCTACTATCTCCAAGCAGATCAAAGGGGTTGAATGTTCTTATTGTATTGTGTTCTTATACCGGTTATATCCGATGATGCTTCCAGGTAACACCAGCCAGATTGGCCCTGGTCACCAGCCAGACTGTGCGGAACAACGGTGTTCCCTGCCAATCCGACCCGCTCAGCGTTGTCGTTGTAGTCCTCGTCTCCAACTCTCCCGGGGCGTAGTCCTCATCTCGTCACCCCCAGATGAACACATCAGACCGGGCGGAGGGAAAAAAGACACATCAGAATGTCCAAAACCTGTCTCCCGGTTGGCTCTCCAAAAAGGCTTTCTTATTGTCCTCGGTCTGTCGTCCGAACGGTACCTCCGAACCGGGGGTTTGCACGGCGTGGTCTGTCGGACGAGCCAGTCGTCGGACGAGACGTGACCTCAAAGCGATCTGCCGCGGGTCGTCGAACCAGGCATGCGATTTGGGATGTCCTCCTGGTACCCCCGGAGCTGCAGGGCAAGGCCAGAACTCGGGTATGTCCATCCAGAAAGACTCCAGGGCAAGGCCTGGTTTTCCATGATAAATGGATCTACAGTATACTAGGTGCAGATCTCATAGGACTTTATACTATAATTACATTGATTAATAGAGGTCACGCGATTATAATGACTGTTTCGAGTGTAGACGGTTGATTCATAAACCCCCCAGTTGGAGAGTGAAACCATATATATATATATAGGTTTGATTAGCTTCACTTAGCAAACGTAGTGCAGCAGAATCAGTAGAGCGCTCAGGTTCTACAAAACCTCGGCCATACAACCCCGTCCACCCGACCGCTGCACGTCCTACAAAAGAATAAAGAAAGATGTTTTGCAAGACAGCACGTCATCACATGTCACTTCTACACTACACATCTGTGGCATTGTATGCGGCACCGTCCAGAGCCTCAGACATGTGCATCCTGATGATGCAACTCGATGAAGCTGCTTGACAGCTTCCAGCATGATTGCGGGCCAACGTGGATGGCACGGCCCCGGAAGGATGACCATTCTTGCTCGACCACGTAACCGGTGGTGGACAACTCCACGTAACCAGAGAGCAAACGATCGTTGAACGAACGTTGGGCGTCCAGAGTGCTTGAATTTGTGCGAAGGGATTGGTGCCTGGATATATATATATATATATAATTATATATATGGTGTGCTTCGATCATCCTTGTCCGTGGACAGAATGTGGCATGCACACATTCAAATACAAATGTCTTTGATTTGCATCCATTGGGTCCATATGAATATGAGACTCAACTTTGAAAGGTGGAATACCCCTGCTACCCTGGTGCATGTGCCTTGGCTCGTGAGTTGGTTCCAACATTCCCGCCAGCTTAGCATATACTGTAATCAGATCCCTTTTTGGCCATCCTCATCCGAATCCGGATCACCCATTGCCACAGTGGATGAATCAGATGAACCCCCTGGGAATCCTCCGGTCTCCAGGGAAGCTGGCCAAAAGTGCTGTGGGTCATGGCACTAGGGGTGCCCTGTATTTTTCCACCGGACATGAACAGAACAGCCTATATAGACTACTAGAATCTACTGGACATAGTCAACTGCCCAGGGTGGTCAAACAGGCTCCCGGTGCCATGACCTACAGCCAGTCCTACAGTGGTATCCGTAGTGGTTTCAGGATATTTAAGGGCTTACGCCCGACAGCCGGCCAGGGGCCCAGGCAAAGGGCTTGTTGCAGTCGTGGTAGTGTGCTTGTCATTGTAGTTGTCGTTGTTGCTCGTGTTGCTGTTGTGGTTGGTGTTGTTTCCGCGGTAGTTGTTGTTGTAGTTGTCGTTGGTGGTGGCTCGTTGTTGTTGTTGTTGTTGTTGTTGTTGTTGTTGCTTTCTTGGCCCAGCTTGGGTCGATGTTGGCGTATCTTGGGCTATCTGGGCATCTTGGGAGCTATGCTAGCCCATCTTGTCGCTATGTTGGGGCTATGTTGGCCCATCTTGGGGGCTATGTTGGCCCATATTGGGGTTATCTTGACCCAGCTGGGGGGCTATGTTGGCCCAGCTTGACCCTAGGTTGGCCCATCTTGGGGCCATGTTGGCCGAACTGGGCCCAGCATCCGCCCACGATGCAGACGAAGCACTCGGTGCGGCACGCATTTCCAGCATGATTTGGGCCTATGTTACGCAATGTCGACCCATCTGGAGCCACAAACCCGGAAAAATGGAAGAAGCAGAAAACACTGTAAAACACACGATTCTGCAGGGGTCGGCGGCGGAGGGGGGACTCCCCTCTCTCCTTCGGAGAGGAGAGATAGCCTACGGCAAGGACACGGCCTTCGGGCCTTTGGGGCCCCTGGCCGGATTATGAGGCTTACGCCTGACAGCCGGGCGCCGGCCTATTTGGGTTTGGGTATGTGCAGGGCTGGGTCCTGTCTCTCTCTGTCTCTCTCCCTCCCTCTCTCTCTCTCTCTCTCTCTCTCTCTTTGAGACTTGGTGGGGCCTATATTGAGCAAAGTTAAGCTATCTGGTGCGCATCTTGGCCCTAGGTTGGGCCAAGTTGAGCCCATGTGGTCTATGTTGGGCACATCTTGGGCCCAAGTTGAGCCTATGTTGGGCCTAGGTCGGCCTATGTTAGGCCTATGTTGGCCTAGGCTGTGCCTATGTTGGGCATATGTTGGGGATATGTTGGCTATCTTGGGCCTATGTTGGGGATATGTTAGGCAACTTATGTGCCCAACACCCACGAAATGTCGATTAAGCTTGTCCATGCGGCACGCATTTCCGACACCACCGGCGCCCTGTTAGACGAAAGTCGTGTCCGCCGAAGGCCACGAAACACTGTAAAAAACAATGTTTTCCCCATCATGCACAAAAAGACTGGTAGATAACATTTAACTTCTGTCGACCGGATTCGACCAAAGGGTCGGCGGCAGGGGCGGCAAGCGTATATAACCTTCGGTTACCAACCGAAGGCGGCGCCCGGATTTCAAGGCTTACGCCTAACAGCCGGGCGCCGGCCCACGTGGGTGTGTGGGGCGTATGTCACGCCCATGTTGGCCTTGGTGCAAAGTTAAGCTATGCCCTAGGTTGGGCCAAGTGGGGCCTATGTGGTGTATGTTGGGCACATCTTGGGCCCATGTTGAGCCTATGTTGGACCTATGTTGGCCTATGTTAGGCCTATGTTGGCCTATGTTGGCCTGGGCTGGGCCTATGTTGGCGTATGTTGGCCCCATGTTGGCCTATGTTGGCTCTATGTTGAGCCATCTTGGAGGCTATGTTGGGCATATGTTGGGGAAATGTTGGCTATCTTGGGCCTATGTTGGGGATGTGTTAGGCAATTTATATTGAAAACATCTTCCGAGACAACTCTTTACGATTTTTTCCTTCCCGCAAAGCAAAAAAACTGAAAAAAAAACAGCCCAGATGAAATTCTCGGCCGCCGAGGGGCCCGAAACCCTGTAAAACACAGTGTTTTTTATACCTCACACACACGATACACCGTAAATTACAGCGACTTCAGTGAACAGGAAGTGACCAGGGGGTCCCCCCGTTTTGGTGACGAGGGTCGGCGGCAGCCGGCGCGACCGTCTATAACCTTCGGTTACCACCGAAGGCCTCCGGCGAGGACACGGGCGCGTGGCCGGCGCCCGGATTTATGAGGCTTACGCCTGACAGCCGGGCGCCGGCCTATTTGGGTTTGGGTATGTGCAGGGCTGGGTCCTGTCTCTCTCTCTTTGTCTCTCTGTCTCTCTCCCTCTCTCTCTCTCTCTCTCACACACCTGTCTCTCTCTTTGAGACTTGGTGGAGCTATCTGGTGCCCATGTTGGCATATGTTGGCCCTATGTTGAGCCATCTTGGAGGCTATGTTGGGCATCTGTTGGCTATCTTGGGACTATGTTGGGGATATGTTAGGCAACTTATGTCCCCAACACCCACGAAATGTCGATTAACCCTGTCCGCGCGGCACGCATAACTGACACCACGGGCACCCTGTCGTGGACGCCGAAGGCCACGAAACACTGTAAAACACGATGTTTTTGAACATTTTTCGAACATCCAGCGCAAGATACATATAAATCTGTCAGGCGGATTCGGGCGGGGGTCGACACGGGGTCGGGCGGAGGTCGACCAAAAGGGTCGGCGGCAGGGGGCGCGAGCGTATATAACCTTCGGTTACCAACCGAAGGCCTCCGGCAAGGGAACGTGCGCGTGGCCGGCGCCCGGATTTAAGAGGCTTACGCCTGACAGCCGGGCGCCGGCCAAGCAGGGTGAGGGTTTGTGTGAAACGCGTGGACGACGAGGGTGTACAGGGCTGAGTACTCTCTCTCTTTCTCTGTCGCTTTGTCTTGGTCCTTTTCATCCTCGCTCTCTCTTTTCGCTGTCTCCGTGCCGGCATCTTTCTCTATCTCTCTCTTCCTCTTTCTGTGCTGTGTCTCTTGCTGTCATTCTCTTTCTCCTTCTCCTTCTCTTCTCTTTCTCTGTGTTTCTCCTTGTCCCCTCAGTGTTGGCCTGGGTCTTCGTCCGTGTCTCCGTCGCGGTATTTGTCGGTAGTTGTCTCTGTCTCTACCTCTGTGTCGGCTAAAAGGTTGTGGGGGAGCATCGCTCTCCCACCCTCGCGCAGGACGGGGGCCGGGACTTCGGGCGTCCCGGCAGCATCCTTCGCAAGAAGGGGGCTGACCGCCCGGGTGTGCATGGCGCACACCGAAGGTCGGGAGAGCCGTTGGACGCAGTGGAGCGCAGGCGGGGATCGAGGGGGTCAGCGAGAGAGAGTCAAGCGAGCGTGGAGTAGCGCCAAAGCGAAAACATCTCCGGAGGACCGAGAGGGATTGGTTCACAGGAAGCAAGACAAGAGTCGTGAGAAAGAGCACAAGCAGAAGCACGACCACGAGAAGTAGGTGCACAAAACCACCCTGGGTAGATCCATTTCATCGTTCACGCGAGCTTTTGATTGACAATAAGGAAAAACAAGCGTTGTTAGACAGAGCACAAGCAGTGGCATGAGCACGAGAAGCAGGTGCACAAAACCACCCTGGAGTCAGCGCATCGCGCAGCCGCTGCAGCGAAGTTAGCCGGCAACTTGTCGCGCAAGTCTGGCGAAATGTGGTGGCTGCTGACGCTTGTGGCCGCTTGCGCTGCCTTTCTGTGTGGTATATGGGTCGCGCGCTGCCGCTACTTGCCGCATATCGCCAGTCTCGAGCGATCGACCATGGAAGCCATGAGCATAAGAGACCACCCAGAGCATCGCCAGAGCAAAAGCCAGAGCAAAAGCCTAATCCGCCCACTGCATAGAAATTCCAGAGTCAAAAGCCCAGAAATGCGTTGTACTATAGCAGGGTTTCAACTGTATGCTCCCGAACGACCTCGGCCACGACTTCGTTTTCGTGGGCCTGTGGAGCCAAAGGTTCGGTTGGACCATGTGCCAGCGCATGACTTTGTCAGAGTCGCATTGCAAACTCCGACGGAGAAGCGGTCGAAACAGAGCCAAAGAAGCGGTTGAACCTGCGATGCCGTGTGCGTCCAACCGCACAGATCCTTGGTTCGTTTGCGCCTTCGCTCTAGCCTGCGCCAGAGCATCGCTCACGCGGTCAACTTCATGACAACAACCAGGCCGTAGCAGTAAAAAAAGGGTCAGCGAGCGCTGCTGGAGCGGTGAGACTGCAAGGAACAGTGAAACTGTGAACGATGCGTGCAGAGTGCAATGTCCGTGAATTCGTTCTCGCCAGGTGCGCACCGTCTACATCTTCAGTCGGTGGGGGGCCGAACAACCCCTCCCTGTGCAAGACGGGGACCGGGACTTCGGGCGTCCCGGTAGCATCCTTCTCGAGAAGGAGGCTGACCGTCCCGGGAGCGTCCTTCTCGAGAAGGGGGCTGACCGCCCGGGCGTATACCTGGTATACGCCGAAGTCGGGAGAGCCGTCTTGCGCATACTGTCTCTGTCGGTCTCTGTCTCTGTAGTCTCTGTCTCTGTCTTCTCTGTAGTCCCTGTCTCTGTCTTCGCTGTCTCTCTTTCTCTCTCTCTCTCTCTCTTTTGAGACTGTGTGAGGCCTATGTTGCCACATCTTGAGGCAGTCTGTCGGGTCATCTTGCGACTATGTGTACCATAGGCTGGGACTAAGTGAGGTCCTCTTGAAGGCCTCTTTCAGATCATCTCGGAGCACATGTTCCGCCTTTGCTGTTGGCGTGTGCCCAACGCCCACGAAATGTCGATTAAGCTTGAGCAAAGTTAAGCTATCTGGTGCGCATCTTGGCCCTAGGTTGGGCCAAGTTGAGCCCATGGGCCCAAGTTGAGCCTATTTAGGCCTATGTTGGCCTAGGTTGGGCCTATGTTGGCGTATGTTGGCCAAGT